TTGAAATGCAGATTTCAATCTGAAATATAAACCTCATATCTTTATATATTTTCATCCTCAATTTTTAGTCTAAAATGTTAATATTAAAACTTAAAGTAGAGAGACAATTTATATATATATATATATATATAGTAGATAAAGGTGGGAGGTACTAGTATTAATAGCATCAGCTTCCTCTCAATGAGTACTACTACTACTGCCACACCATGACCACCATTTTGAATTTATGCTTAAACTTCTGTAGAATCAAGAATAATTCTTGAGACAGTCATAATATTTAATGTGATAAATCTTCATGATCTAAGCAATTATTTAAAACATTTTTTTGATTTTCTCTTTCTCTTTGAATAAAGATGATTTTACTATAATTTTTTTTCAAGCTGTAGCAAACATCTACCTCAAATCTGTCACACTGGCTTTATATCAAAATAAACAAATGAAAAAAAGTTCCTGTCACAAATGAATTTGATTGTTGGCTTTTCTTAAAAGCAAAATTTCCTGGGTTTTTATATGTTTACATGTCTTCTTTGTAAACTTAAGAGAACATCATCTTTTTCTTTTTTTAATCTTTTTTATTAAATCATTATTATTAATCTTTGTTGTCATTGAAATAAGAAGAGAAGGATGTTGCCCAGGATGAGAAATTTAAACCTATTCAAAGTTTACAGAGGATTTATTGTTAAGGGATTAAGATACCTGGATCAATTCCTATTGCAGCTACTTGGTGATGAAGCACTATACACAGATGTGTGAGTAACGTCCATGGATTAAATACTTGGGGCCCTGTTGTACATCTCAAGATCCTTGACAAAATTCAAAAAAGGGTCTTTTATGTAATCGACCCTGACAAAGCATCTTGACTTTCTCACCGATGTGACATGAATTTCCTTTGTCTTTTCAATAACTACATTAATTTAAACGTGCTACTAGATAGGCAATTAGGTCTCACCAATTTACTGTTTTACTAGATAGAAGTAATCACCACTTCTACTTTAACAGATTCCTTTCTCACACTTCTAACCTGTGGAACTCTCTTGTGATTTCTTGCTTCCCTGATAACTACAGTCTTCAAAGATTTAAATACAATGTCAATTGCCATCTTCTATCTTTTTGAAACTTGTTCCTTTTTATCCTTTAATGCCAAAAACCTCAAGATGAATGACAGAAACACTAGACCAGATATGGCAGCAGTATTCAATGTGCAGATGAATGGTAGATTTGTAAATGTGCAAGATGAACTCTGATAAGGAAAATTTTCTGGCATGACAGTGATCCAAATTTCCTTGCAGTAGATGCAGGTATTGACTCAATGTAGTTGTGTGTGTGATGCGGCATTCACCCTGGGCAGATTGAGCCGGCTTCTTCCTGTTGTGAGAAGAAGATTCTTGGGATAAATTACAGAAGTAGGGTACCCAGGCCTACTCGGATAACGTTCTTGCTTGCCACGGGGTTCCCACAGACGCAGAGACAGGAACGACCAGAAGCCGCCGGTTGCCGATGCAGACGCTCCTTGGATTTTCACCAGAGCCCTTGTTAGCCGGCATGTGTGTCAGACCTGTCCGCCTTGGGTGGCCCTACCAGGAACAAAGTTCCGGACAGCATAGCTCTGACACTACCGTTTACACCCCCCCACCGACTGTGAGGTAAGGGTTGGACTTTGTGGGCTTACAGTACCAGGTGTTCCCAAGCGGTCCCCCATGTAAGTACTGACCTGGCTCTACGATGCTTAACTTCGGTGATCGAACGAGAACCAGTGTTTTCAGCATGATTTGACTGTAAGCACTCAATGTAGTTGCTCCACTTTAAATCATTTGGAAATGTGAGTCCAATAAAGTGCAGTGTGTTGCTCTCCATGAGTCTAGTGTCAGTCATACAGACAGAAAAGATTCTGTATAGTGGTTCAATGAAAGTAGTTTGCTTTTGAAGGTGTTAAAATATACAAGAAAAAAAATCTCCACTTTAAAACTATTTGCAGTAGAGCTGTATTTTTTTTATATACATGCCAGTAAGTATTTTATCAACACTTTAAATATATTTCAGCATTAAATGTTTTTCTCTTCACTAGATACATTATTCAATTCATGGATGTAAAATTCAGTTAACCTATTTCCTACTGTAAGGTACAGATCATTTGACAAGGTTCCATCAGAGTGTGTAGAGAAATAGAGATTTCAGTTTTCATGATAACCCTTGTGAATTCCAATAGAAGACATTCTTATAGAGCCACTGTCAACCTGCACAATACAAATTGACAAGCTGGATTCAAAACCTCATGCTGTCTCTTCTACGCAAACTTAACTAACTGCCTGAATAATCTGGAAACATAACTTGTCTGAATGACAAGAAGCCAGTCTTCCATGGTCCAATGGCATTGTTCACTAGCTCAGGTGAGGTGCAGAAACTGATGCCAATACTGGTATTTTTATCAGTTGACAATATCAAATCCCAATGGGATGCAGTGTATGCTGTACTATACCTTCACTGATGGGTTTAGTGGCACCATCCTTGGAATGAAATGAGATTTGATGCAATGCTCTCTTTCATTAAGTGGTTCAGTCAGTTATGGAATATAATGTTGGGAAATATTTTTACAAAGCCTTTAATGAAATCAGGAGGTGCTAATGGATAGCGGCTTAGATTGAGGAATTGGAGAGCCGAGTTCAAATTCCAATTGAATCCATTACATTCACTTAAGTGTTAATACCCTTGGGAAAGTTATGAATCCTCTTCTTCTCCCACCAGCTATGGGTAAATAGCAGGAAAGACCAGGTTCTATAGCTCTGGATGGCAACTGGTCTACCACAGAAAGAAATGGCAACCTATTGCAGGAAAAAATCTGCCTCGTCAGTCATATATTGAAAGATACATGATTACCTAAGCGTGTATCACGCATGGCACATAACTGACTGATTCTTATCAGTTGACAACATCAAATCTCAGTGGGATGCAATGTATGCTGTACTATACCTTCACTGATGGGTTTAGTGGCACCATTGTTGGAATGAAATGGGATTTGATGCAATGCTCTCTTTCATTAAGTGGTTACCCCTTGTTATTCATTGGCTGCACAATTCTTGTATCAAATATGGATACCTGTTGTTTGCACATGTTACTGCACTGATGTCTTTTCAGAATTCATATTTTTTTAGCTGAAGAAAGCCCCCAAAACAGTTGCTATTTCAGAGATAAAGAGTCCCATATTTTTTTGCATAACAATCAAATAATCAAGAATAAGGTTGGAATGATGACAATGACTCACCTTAGGATTACAGACAATAAGTAAGGTTGAAAAACATCCTGGCCAAAATGTATTGATAAAAACATTTTCTTATTACTACCTACCTAGCATGGGAGGGTGCAGCACTGAAGCCAGTGGGCTGTGTTACAAAACAAGTATCTAGTATAAAAACACAAGTGTGTGTATGTATTTGTCTATATTCATTAATAAAAATTTCAAATTTATGATATTAATTAAAAGATGCTTGAAAGAACCCAACACTTAAAATTATTTTATTTAAAAATCAATAACATATTCAGTGGCACCAGTATTGAATTGAAATGTGATTTGATGCACTGCTCTCATTCATTAAATGGTTGCCTCTTGTTATTCACTGGCTGCACAATTGTTGTATCAAATATGACACCTGCTATTTGCACATGTTACTGTGCTGAATACAGGGCATTACATTTGGGGATGGCAGAAAGTTGTAAGTGTTGACAGTCAACCACCTTCAGGGGTCTATTCTAGGTTTTCTATCTGGATTTTCCATGTTTAGATATGACTTCAGGGCAGCAGAGGTTTAAAATCAGGGTTTTCCTTCCTCTAGATCAGCAATTGCCAAACAGTATGGCACACCTCATAGGTGTAGTGGAAGAGGACAGCAGGTAAAGTGGAATGGTTGAAAGACAATCACAGATTTAGAAACAGTTTCAAAAAATTGCCAAAAATAATATTGCCATATGCCAAAAATAGATATGGTTTCAAAATTTTAAATATATTTATGGATTCCTTGTAATTGCATGCATGAGTCCCAGTATAAATAGTTATAAATAATTATTGACTGATTTTATCATTGTGATATGTTTGCATTATATCAAGTATTAAGAATATAGTAACTAGGGTCTGCAAATTGGAGGAGAGAGTTATCAATGATAATGTTCTGACTTCAAATCAGTAGTTATCTCCCTCTCTGTTTTTTTAAATTTTTAAATGAACTTTTTAATCACATAAAATTTGGTGAGGTATGAGCAAATTTTCATTCTGAAAATGTATCCCAGATGAAAAAAGTTTGGGAACCACTGCTCTAGTGAACTGCCTTCCTGGGCTATCAAGTTCCATCTACCTGAAGTCTATCCTATATAGGAGATTAGATATTGCATAGCAGTCCAACATTCTTTTTTTCTAATAACATTTACCTTTCTCTTAAAACTTTGTTTAGTTTGTGAAATACATCTTTTTTTATTCCTATGTTAGGATTCTTCTTAAAATGCCATGTTCCTTTAGAATTTAAGTGATTATGGCTCTCCACCTACTCATTTTCTTTATTATCTGTGAATTACTATGCATTCTTGAGAAAGGCAGTGGAAGGTTTCCTGTTGCCTTCTCCAAGGTTTTGAATTCAGATTTATCTTTCTCCTCAACTGGCTTCTATACAAGGCTCAAGAGCCCAGTCTATCCTGTTATTTACCTATAGATGAGGGTCCATTGTAGAACTGTTCTGAATTTCTGGTACATCTATTTATCATTGTCTCATACTGTTTGTACTGAATATCAGTAAAGAGAACATCATTTCAGCAGAGTGTGTAGTATATTTGTGGAATTGCCAATAGTAAAAGAGATGAAACAGAATAATAACAAAGATAAAGGAAGGAATTCCTTTGCAATATAATTAAAGGAAAAGTGAGAAGGAAGCATTCTTGAAATGCAATTAAAATCCAGACCAGCATTGGTATTGTGTCTTGTTAAGTAGAAATAAAATGTCAAAAATGTACTTTCTCACCTGAAACTCATCATAGATTCTTTCTATATCACTGCACATGTTTTTCAGTCCTTGGTAATCCAGTGGGTGTGACAGTTCAGCCTGGTAAAAGAAAATAATGACTTAAAAGAAGAAAAGGTAAACGCAGAAAGATAAATGGGATTGAAATGCAAAGTAGATTAACAGATAAGAACACAATATACAGCAACAGATTGTGTGAAAAGCATTGATCTGATAAAGGCAAAATTTCAAGCAAAAATCTAAACTTCATGCACAAAAGTTCCTTTCAAATTCTGACATCTAATATTGCCATTATTCCACAAGACTGGTATGCTCATTCTTGTTTTTATCACAATATTTTGCCAGTGTTCTTCAGCATTACACATTGTCTGAAATACTGGGCTCAATTATTGACATTATTCCAATGAGTATCTTCATCTCTGTTGTTTTTAATTACTACTTTTTGGCCAATGTTTCTTCAGCCTTCCTCATTGTCTGAAATACTGATATAAATTATTGTCATTATCCTACAAGTAATTCATATTAGTATCCTCAAATTTATTGTTTTTGACACTACATTTTAGCCAATGTGTTCTTCAGCCTACCTCATTATCTGAAATACTGATATGTCCATCACATCATTTCAAGTTATTCAAACTAATGGTCTCTACTTTTTTCTGCAGTTTATAGTTTTATAATTTTTATAGTTTCAACACCAAAATTAAAAAAATCATAGGTTTTATTGAATAATGGCCCTGAAGGTTTACCCCACTTGTTTGCCAAGGAACTTTTATTAATGCCTGTGAGTTGGAATTGCCAAAACACATTATAAAAGATAGAAGAACAAAGTCTCTTTTTTCTTTTTTCTCTCTTTACCCACTGTTTGCCATAAGTTGTTTTACTTACCCACCATGGGAGAGCTTACACCCATAGTGAACCATGTGTTACATTGTACACAACACAGCACACAAATGCCCTAAGCTGATACCAATGTAAATTTCTCAATACCATTGAAACGACTATATAGAGTGTCTCAATATATGCACTTACTTTTATATTCTTCCTATTTAGTTTTTCTAAGGCAATAAAATGTTGTTATGATATGAAGAATACTGTTTGTAATTTCATTCATATCTCCTGTTTGAGATAATGACTCATGTGACCACAATATTATCATAACACTATAGGAACTCCTACAGAAGATAGAAAAAAAGAAAAAACTCCTCAAGAAGGTAGAAAGTGAGAAAAAAGGTCTAAACATCAATTGCAAGAAGAGAGAATACACAGTTGTCAGTAAAAGGAACAGCCCAAGGCATGTACTATTAATTGGTGACACTAATATTAAGCAAGTACAAAAATTTAAATATCTAGGAAATATTTTAACAGAAGATGGAAAATGCAACACTGAAATCCAGGAGTGCATTGGGATAGCAAAAATGCCTTCCAAAAGCTAAGCAAAGTATTAAGAAAAAGAAAAATTTCATTAGAAACAAATAAATGTTTACTGAACTGTTATGTAATATCAGTCATCCCCTATGGCAGTGAATGTTGGACAATCAGATGAAAAAGAGTCTTGAGGCAACAAAAATGTGGTTCTACAGGAGGATACTGAGAATACCATGTGAACAATGATAAAGTTTTAAAGAAAATGAAAACAAAAATGACACTTAGAATCAGAAAGGGACAATTTTGACCTGGAGAGGAATGTGCTTTGTCAGGTTTGAATGAATACCTCTCCAGCTTTCAACTCAGATATATGCAAAGAACTGGTCAGGTTCTTAGCCAATCACTGAACCTATAACCACCCCTGGTCATGTGACTGATAATGATGATGCCTCATCGAAGAAGATTAGATGGTTTTTCAGTTCAATCACTCCCTCATATAAGGTATGCTAACATTAGTCATGTCTATAATAAATTCTGAAGACCTCATTTACAGTTCTATAACAGGTGATCAATTTATTTAAAATAAAAAGGTATTGAACTGTAACAGGGCTTTGGAACCTTTTGGAGAGAGCAGGCCAGAAAGCTATGCATCAACTTGGAGCGGGGCCATGATATCAAGTGTATTATAAAAAATTGTCTCGATCTCAGATTGTTTTGTCCAGAATGCTGCCTTGGGTCTGGAAGTTTAAAAAAAAAAGAAACAAAGTTAATGCTATATTATTTAAACAAGGTTCCTTATTTTACTACAGGATAACAATTAACACAATCAACAAAAATGAAAACTCCTTACTACAAACGAAATACAGTTAGAAATGGCAAATTATTTAATGTGATATTTGTTTTTTGCATATTGTTTGATAACTTCTCCACATCGGGGGAAATATTTGTCAGTGACAGGAACAAAACATCATCCAAATGGTGATCACCCAATCTTGTTCTCATATGACTTTTAGTATATTTCATTTTCAAAAAAAAGTTGCTCACGAGCATATGTACTTCCAAATAAAGATACCATCGTTTCACACTATTTTATAGGCTTTTCTATTTTCCACTTGTCAAAACATATCTCTTGTAAAGTCAGCAGTGGATTCAGAATGAAATTTTGATTTAAAAAAATTGTCACAGTGTAAGTCAATTAATTCCAAATGATATTTTTCTGCAAGTTGCTCCACAAATTAATTTCATAATTAGTGTCCAGGTATTAAGGTGGTGGGCCAGACAAAAATCCTTCACAGGCTGAATGTGGCCCGGGGCCAGGGATTGCCGACCCCTGAAATATAAGGACCATTAGTCAACTGAGATGTTATCTTAACTTCCTTCAACAAGTGGATAGCTGTGAGAACATACAATAGGGCCCTGACCCAGGCATTCACCCTGCAACCCTGCAGTTTTTATCAATCAGTTACTTTTCTTTGTTTCTCTCTGAATGTTCTTCAAAATGTCCTGTAAAATAATAAGAAAAGAAAATTATTGCAATAAGCCTTACATGATCCGAGGGATCCATTCCTGCATTGTAAAGTCCACTACATGGCCTGGATCTGGACATATTGGCCAGTGCGATGGAATCCAGACTGGCCAGCGATAGTTTACGCGAAGGCATGTACATATGCAGCTTTTGACAGCGCCTGCGGTGAACAATGATCTGAAAGAGACACAAAAACAATTGGCAAAAGCATCTCAAAATAACAGAAGAATACTGTAAAAAATCTTTTTAAATGTGTAAAGCAGAATAAAATAAATAAAGATATGCATATAAGATGGTTATGTTTTTATTTAATCTAAGGAAAACTACAAACTAAAACTACCTTACTCTTCATCTTGCTCTATTGACAATACAGGGTACAATGAATAAATTGTCATCTAAATTACACAAAAATAAAAATAACACCTCATTTTAACAGATATATTTACTAAAATTACATAAAAATATTTTCAAATACTGAAGAGTAAATTTATTCAATAAAATTGACATTGGCTTCAATCACTGCCTCCAGATGATGTCAGAATCTCCTGCAACTCTTCTGGACAGTCTCCTTGTTAAGTTGGTGAATGCTGCCATGTTCTTTGCCTTCAGTTCATCTTTGGTGTTACAAGGAGTTTTGTTGGTCACTCACTCAACTGCACCCTATGCATAATAATCAAGGAGGGAGTTAAGTAGGTAGCTGTAAGGGGTGATGTGGTTGCAGAAATTGGTTGACAGCCATGACTGGGTTCTCCTGCTTGTGTGGCATGGTGCAGAGTTCTGTTGCCAGACATAGGGTCTTCCAGCATTTCTGAATCCCCTGCACTGTCCTCAGATTGATACTCAAACACTCTGAAATGTTCATATTGGAGCTTCCAACATAAATTCCAAGCAGTACAGCATGCCGTTTCAAAATTTCTGGTGGAATGAATTGCATCATGGCATTCTTTTCCTCAAAGACAGTGTCCAACTGACCCTTCTATACTAGGCAATTAACAAAATCAAAAACAAACAGTGTGCATACATGAAATTAAAAATATAAAATGGTGAAAATTTACCCATTGCACCCTGTACATCAAAGGGATCTATTTCTATAACTTTATCACTGAGTTCATATGTATAGTATTGTTGTTGGCTCTATTTTGTATCCAAGAATTTAATTTCTTCTTTTCCAATTGTTTCCTTTATGATTATGACATGGATGGCTAAGTAGACCAATTCTTGCATGGCATTCAGTGTATCATAATGTTGGTGGAAGATGAGGTCATTTGAGCTTTTCTCTCTTGTCATTTGACTTCTTCATTTTCTCCTCTGGTGGCTTCAAAGTTTTTGATTCTGATGGTGATGGAGCACTCACAGTTGGTACAGTCATGTGCTTGTGATTCAAACAATTCAGGCTCAAGTCCAGTAGCTTTCAGTGTTGATCCTTATATCTCTGAATAGGACAACGCTATGTTATTATCCCTGAAGTGAGCTCACAGAATAAACCTTGACTCTTTCATTCTTGTTATGTACTGACCATCGAAGATGGTGCTTAACAATCAGTGATTCAATGCTTTGGTTGTTGGCGCTTTCCGGGACTTTGGTATTGGTCACATAGTAATTCTATTTGATGTTTAAGATTGAACAAAGCTTATTTATGGATGTTGCAACAATATAGAGTCCAGGTTTCATGACCAGATAGCAAAATTGAAATGACAACAGCATTATTTTCAAGTTCAGTTGTTGAAGATGCTTTTGATTAGCTTTCTGGTAAGTATATGTCTACTGAAACATATATAGCCACCAAATATAACATTTAAAGTAATAGGCATGCATTTCAGTTTGTATGTGCATTTATGTAGAAAATTAATCACTAGCTATATCTCTTTCTTTCTCTTTCTCTCTCTCTCCACACAAGGGTTGTTCCAAAAGTAATGCCTCCTATTTTATTATGCTTTTTTTTGCTTTTAATCAATTCATGCCAAACAAAGTGATAATGCTAATGAGATACAAGGGGCTATTTGCGGTGAAACAGAATGAAAAAGATGTTGGAAGGAACTGGAAACCTAATCCTAAACCAGAAACAAGGAATAAACCTCTACATCAGTTTAAAATGCTCACAACATGGAAAAAGTATGATAAAAAAATTTAACAAGACTTATATATAAATATAAAAGGTAAAAGAAAAACTTTTCATTACCAATGTATGCTCTGATAAACTTTATTAAGGTAAATGTGAGGACAAAATGCATTAGTAAAGAAATGTTTTCCTTTTGTCTTTATTCACTTTTTTTTTTAAATATACAGTCATCCCTCAATTTGATTTGATTAATATGTTTTCAATTAGTGCACAAAATTTTCATATACCAAAATTTAATTAGTGCATACATAATACTTGATTAGTGCAGTAAAACATTCTTTGGTTTAACTATAGTAATTGAAAATTGATTTTTTATAGTTACTGATGTACAAATTAGCTGTACTAATCAAGAGTTTCCTGTATTTTATTTGTATCTGATTTTTTTACACACACACACACACATTTATAATAACGTCTAAGAAATGACTGAATTTTATTTATAATCTGCCATTATTTCTTATTAACTTAAACATCATATTTATTGGATACACATGTTTCAGCAAATACCACTCTTTTTTAAACAATGTAAATCTATATCAAAAGTACAGGCTGGTAAATATTACATTTGCACTGTTCAAAAAAAAAAGGATGTCTGCTGAAACATGTACACAAATAAATATAATGTTTCAAGTAATAAGATGTTACTTTTAAATAAAGAAAACAAACACACATATATATTAAAGAACAAAAATTTATATAAATTGATAGATAGATATAGGTAGTGTAGACATAGGAATAAACATGGTGATTGTCATGGTTTAAAACTAGCTTGAGATGTGAAACTGATAATAACCAATCAGTGTCGATTCCTATGTCCACATTGCATATAACTATAAATGCTTCATCTCTTCCCCCATAAATATATCAATGCATTTTTTCTTCCAGTTAACTTTGTTTATGCAAATGTGAGGACAAAATGTGTTGGTAAAGAAAAATTTTCTTTTTGACATTATTCACAGTGTTTTTAAAGATATATTTTATTTGCATCTGAATTTTTTACACACACACACATTTTATAGTTACCAATGTACAAATTAGCTGCACAAACACATGTATTCAATAAATATGACGTTTAAGTTAAGAAGAAATAATGTTGGATTATAAATAAAATCCAGTCATTCCTTATATCAGTAATAGATAGATAGATAGATAGATAGATAGATAGATAGATAGATAGATATAAGTAGTAGTGACATAGGAATAAACATTGCATGGTGATTGTCATGGTTTAAAGATAGCTTGAGATGTAAAACTGCCAATTACCAATCAGTGTGGATTCCTATGTCCACAGTGTTTATATCTACAAACACTTTATCCCTTCTCCCCCCATATATATCGCACAAATTTTAGATAATGCATATATATTTATATATATATATATATATATATATATCAATACATAGGCAATAAAAACTTTAGATGCTGGATAGAAACACCACCTGAAGAGACCTTGGCGGTTGAAACTGCAGTTGTGTTTCTATCTATTTTATTGCCTATACATTTATTAATAGCTCTACAGTTCAGTGTTTCTACCTTGTTATTGAGCACTTTTTTATTACAAACATTTATATATATATATATATTAACTCCATGTTTTACTTCTATCAGTTTAGAACTTTTCAATTACTTAGGCGACATCATGCCACTTACACAGAGGCAAATCATTCTCATTTCTTTTGCATTCTAAATTTAAGAACAAAATTTGACTAAAACAGTTTTTTTGTCTCAAGAACTACCACTTTGTGGTATGGCTCTCATGTTGTTGCTTCCCTGAACATTTCAATCTTGATTTGTTCAAGTCAAGTCAAAGATGAATCATCAGCTCTTCTCCAATTCTTTATATTCTTATTTTTTTACCATCTTTTCTTCAGTTTATATCAAACACTTCCTTCAGTATTATCATTTTATTGACTTGAGTGACTCTTGAGCTTTGTACCGAGTGAACTTTAGTGTAAAAAAAATAATATGTGTGTTTTTGTGTATACAAATAGCCCAATTAACAAAAAATTCATCATAGAGAGGCAAAAATAATTTTTATGCAAAAAAGTTCTTTGAATTTGAAAAAAATATATATACATGTATTTAAAATCTGGTAAGCTTACATATATATATCCTCCATAATGAACATTTACTTTGTCACTTAAGTATAATAAAATATGAATTATTTAAACAAGAAATACATAAATAAAAAATGGAAAACACCACTATTTTTAAAAACATTAGAAAACCCTAAAATACTTAAGAAAAATATGAGTCTTCTCTCTGACATCGGAAATGACATTGTTACATTATCTTTCGACACTTGGAGATGATCGATAGAGAAAAGAAAAGGAATAACAAGAGAGTAAAAAGAGACAAATAAATTATGAAAATTATTATTAAGAAGAAAATAACCATGATATTCTACATGTGCAGATACATACACATTCAGAGATGCATACACACACACTTACACACACTTACACACAAAAAAGAAGAAAATCAATCTAAAACCAATAAAAAAGTACATAAATTATTTTTTTAACTTAATAGAAAAATAATGAAAATGAGAAAATTAACAGACACTTGCTTATGCCTCCTGATGAGTGGACTATTGAATTCTGGAGTAGGAGTGCAGAATATAACATCAATCAGCTAAGTGACAAATTTTATATCTTATTCTAGAAAATATCCTTTAAAGATTGTAAGCAATAATTCAATAAAAATAAGCATACACATTTCTTTTAGTTTATACAAGTGAAAAAAATGAAAAACAATAATGAATTAAGATAAAAATGTGTAAGTCTAGTCACGGGGCCCAAATACTGTGACAAAGCTGACATTAATTTCCTGTAAGTCATTGTGGATGGCTGTCAATATTGTCTGCTTATGATTCTTTACTGCTTGACTTGATTGTCATCTTAGATGACAAGCAAGTCCTGCTTTGGATAAGAAGACCCCACCACAGATTTTGCATGCATGCTTAGGCTGGAAGTTATCTGGAATTAGGATTATACCTTGCTTTTTATGAGCCTATTTCAAGATTGCACAGTCAACCCTTTTTTACTCCACACATACACACACATATATATTTCATTCATCTAATGGTCTACTTATTTTTTATTTTCATTTTGTTAGTTGGTCCAGAAGTCCCCAGCAGCATCTTTTGCATAATCTTAGGGAAATCCTAAAAGTGACTTTGAATCAGCTCTTTTTGTTTTGTTTTTGCATTGTGTGCATACTTTTAGCCATTGTTTATCAACAAATGATAATATTACATTATTTGGGAGGAAATCTTTGTTGAATATAAAATGCACATTTGACACTGTTTACACTTTATTATAAAATGGAACAAGTGCAGCCAAAGTGAGGCAATAAGACACTGAAACTTGTAATAAAGAATCAGTAAGTGTAAATATGTGTCAGGAATGGTTTTCAAAATTAAAAACAAATGATGTTGAGCTTGAGGACAAAGAATGGTAACTGAGGAATTTGAAGGGAGTTTTTCATAGAAGATGCAGTAGAAATAACATGTGAACTTGTTGAAAATGTAAAGAATGAATCAATCAAATCATTTGATTAATGCACTGGAAAAAGAAAAAAACAAGGTAAAGAAGTTGCCCGGTCATTTTTGGTCATTTTTCATTTCTAGGCAAATACATTGCTTGATCATTTTTGGTCATTTCTCAGCAAAAAAGTTGATTGGTCATTTTTGTTCATTTTTTTGTTTCTCAGCAAAGACATTGATTGGTCATTTTTTTTCTTTTCTTATTTCTTGGCAAAGAAGTTGATTGGTCATATTTGGTCAATTCTAGGCAAAGTAGCTGACTGATCATTTTTGGTCTCTTTATTTCTAGGCAAAGAAGTTGCCTGGTCATTTTCATTACATGACAATGTTGATCTTTACACTTAAAATACAATACACCAAACAATTAGGAAACTGGGAAAGGAGGTTTAACCACATGTGGCTTAATTTACAGGCTAATTTTTTGCTACAAAACAACATTCATTATTAGATCAAAGTTCCAACAATTTATAGAAGAATTTGTCAAATCAAAACCAAAATTCTTCTTTTTAACTGAAAAATGACATAATAGAAACAATGGAAAATACTTTTATAACTGAATAATGGTTCTATGAATTTCTATGAATAAAAGATTTACAACTTTTACATCATTTCAACACTTTTAATTTATTCTGATTAGTTTTCAAGATTTTAAAGAACAATACAGAACTGCACATCATAACATTAGTGTATTTCATAAAAATGACTGATATTTCAGGTTCAAAGGCCAATGTTGAATATTCTATAAATTTGACTAAGAAACATGAGTTTCATCTTTTAGCTGATGAAGACAGTCATTTTAGATGCTGTCTATCAATAACTGAAGAAATAATTATATTAATATGAAAGCATGTCATACAGTTGAGATGAATGTTGAGACTGAAATCTAATTATTAATTTATACGTTAATTAATTTGGAATGATAGATGTGCAAAGATGATTAAATGTGATTACTGTGTTTGAATTGTAGTTTTCTACTATTGATTTTCTTATGAATTTAATCAATAAGAATATTTATATATATATACATATACACATCGTGTGTAACTGCAAAATTGTCCAAATTTTGTAACAACATGCGATAATTGTCCATCCCACAAAATGTTTAATATCTAAAAAACACTAAACTAATTGAGTTTCTTTTTCCAGATAAGATGTTTAGCCTTCTTGTCACTATTTTCCATAAGAATTACTGAAAAACCCTTTGAGTTATTCAGTTAGAAAGACAACAGGTTAAAATCATTTTGTGTCAGCCCCACCCCGTCTTCAAATTGAGTAATGGTGAGAGGAAAAAGATCATTCACACCTTCAGTAATGGTATGGACATCCAAACTCTGGCTTTCATCTATAAAGTTCATTCAAGAACCATCAAGAGAACAGTTTAAAAAAGAGTAAGCAGTAGAGAGGAAAACTGGATCAGGAGGTCACAACAGCAAGAGGGATCATCATTTCAACTTAGAGCTAAATACATTCTTATTCTTCAAAGTAGAGTCCAATAGCAGTTAAGCAAGAAATTAGAAGAGAGTTTCACAGGAGAGAAGTGCAAGAGTAGAAACTATTAGAATAGAACACACAGTTATATAAGTACATTATATAGTAACAATACATTTTAAAAAATTAACCCTTTATAGGAAATGTTTGTAAAAAATCTTTTCCTTCATAAAAGACAGAGACATTTTGTTATGAATGGCAAGTGTTGAGGTTTTGATACCAAATTAAGCTCTACAGGTTCACAAAGTTTTCATGATAATTTTACCTCTTTCAACAAATTATAAATCATTAGATAGGAGACTTGATAAATTTCAAAGATTTCAAGAAAAAGTCATCAAGTTCTCTCTTTAATGCCGTAACAAGAATTAAGTGAAGTACAAACTTACCTGGAGGACAAGCAGTGCAAGACAACACAGACCTCCAATAGTAGCCAGTGCAATTGCAATAGCAACACCAGTGTCCATTTTTTGAGAATCTGTGCTGGGAGAGACATTTCCCACTCGAGACTGACCCGGAACCAGATAGACTTTGTCCAACTGTAAAGAGGAAAAGATAAAATAGATATGAAAGGGAGATAAATAAAGGATCAAAGGTTACTTGTGAAAATGCTGAGTGCAAATCAAAAGGTTATTTATTGTCTGATACTGCTTTTAAAAATTACCTAACAATCATGGATTCTGTAGTTAAGCAGTTGTCTAGATTTGATTATTATTTTAAAATTACTGGTCCCATCTTAGAAACAGGATGTATAGGTGATGTAATGGATAGCAGCTCAGAAGAGGAAGTTGGCAAGCCTAGTTTGAATTCCAGCTGAATTTATTACATTCACATACATGCAAATGTCCTTGGGAAATGCATGAATACATATCCTCCCTCCCAGCTATGGGTTAAATAGTAGGACTTGTATCTGGAAAATCATTGTTATTCGCAAAAAATTGTTAATGCCCTATTTTACTCGCAAATAAATAATTATTCTTATAATATAAAAATATGTTTAATTCTTCACAAAAGATTAGTAAACTGTAAAAAATGACTCATTTTAGAAATAAAGAGTAAAGAAGAAATGGTTATTGTAATGACAAGGTTAACCATTTCTATACAAAAAAAAATTCAGCACCTATTGATCAAACACTTACCATTCCTTTTGGTTGAAACTGATAAAATCTTTCTCTTAAAAACAGTTTTTCAAGAAGACAGACTTCTCAAGTCCACAAACTGTTATAGCTCTTTTAAATATTGATAGAAATTTGCTTCCTAACCTTTAGCTTAAGGCAGTGTGGAAAATCAACATCATGTTCATATCATTGTTTTCTGTCTTATTTATATGTGATATCAATTTTAGTTGTAGCTGCTCTTAGAACAATGAGTGTTGAAACAAGACTGAAGATCTGAGAAGTAATATGAATGCTACAGGAGAGGTATTTCTACACATCATTTCAATCATGCAGATCAAGTATAGGGCTTGGCAGATGGAATGCTGAAATATTTTCAGCCAGTTTAACAAGAACGAACTAGCAAAATGTTCATGCCATTCTGAGGATTGCCCCCACCTAGTTTACTAAAACGACACTAAGCGGCATTCTTTCAGAAAAAGAAAGACTAATTCTCTATTCCTGTGGCTCTAGAAAGTAGTAACACTTGTTGAGAAAAATACTGTTAGTTATTACAATTCTTAACACTGTCTTAGTCACAGTCATGACTGACTCTTTTCACCTTTTTCCTACACCATTTTTGGCCTTTTGACAGACATATGAAAAATTCTTCCACAACTTTAATACTCCATATTTCCCTGATGAATTTCAAAGTTGAAAATAAAATTCAGGAGAAATTACAGGAACTTGAAGAAAACAGTTTGCTACACAATTTGCAATCTTATTAGTCCTGACCTGGTATCTTGGCTTCAGTCACTTTCCCACTACCATAACATAACTTTCCTGTGACTTTTCTACCATAAGTATTTTCATGGTAATTGTTCTGATAAGTTTTCCTCTTTAGTATCTAGACTTTATGAATTTAAGCGCAGTGGCAAGGTCTCATTTTACAGTTGAAATGTCTAGATGTATGCACAAATTCTATGCTAACAGTTTCTTCTCTTACACTTTTCACTTGCGGAACTTGCTTTTCAGTCAACTTTGATCTTGAAAAGTTTAAATGCAATGTCAGTTGTTATCTTCCTGTTTTTTTATTGTTCTATCATAAAAAGAAACAAAAACAAAAAAAAATATGCACATAAAATATACCAAACAAGCTAAATAGGCTAAAATATGCACAAAGCATCCAACTTGAAATGAATCACAGTATAAAAATATACAATGCAGGCTAACCAGCCCCGCCCCCACCCGGTGCCTACTTTAGGGATTGATACAACACAATATTCCTCCATCTTCCTACCATTTGTTCTTCTGCATCTCTAAACTAAACATCGCAAATATCTTCAATCTTAGAAGATTACTGCAACACAATCATAAGGCTTTCTATTTCTATCTATTTGGTCTCGTCTTAGTAGAATATCTAAACTTATAAGGTTCTAACTAATGGCTGAGATAGTTGTGTATTTTTCACTAATGTCAGAGATTGTGTTCAAGTTTGGAATTTTAAATACTGATTTTCAAGGCAAGAAAACTATATCCTCTAAGAATGGTTGTGATTAGCCATTTCCTGATAAGGAAACATTAGACATTCATTGACTGAACAGCCAGTGCTACTTTTGGTTGAAATCTATAAAACCTTTCTCTTCAAAAATTTTTTCAGGAAAACAGGTTTCTCAAATGGTGGAACTTTTATTGCTCTTTCCAGTATTGCTGGAGGTGTCCTTCCTAACCTTTTATTTGAAGTGCTGTGGAAGGTCAACATTTTGATTATAGCATTATTTTCTTTTTAAGTTACTTGTGGTATGTATGGTTTATGAATATATCGTTGGAAAGATTTGGGGCTAAAAAGAAATTGTTTCTTTCAATACTAACAAAAATATTTTCCATGTTCTGTGAAAAATAATTTATAGAAGAAAATAAATGAGAAATAATCATGAAAGAACCAAGGGAAATTAATGAAATGGTAACAGCAACGAAACAAAATACTCGCCAGCAGCATGAAGTAGGTAAACCACTGGCAGTGGTGGACTGCTTAGACAGCATATTACCCTGACTTACAATGATGTCCAACGTATTTATCAAGATTAGGACATAACCATTAGTGTTCATAGGTACAATATATAACAAAGATGCAATGGATAAATTATCCTGTAAATTATGCAAAAATGAACATAACACTAACATCTCATTTTAACAGATTCATTTGTCAAAATTACATAAAAATATTTATTCAATAAAATCACCATTGGCTTCAGACACAGCCTCCAGATGACTTCAGAATCACCTTCAACACTCCTGGACAGTCTTCTTGTTTAAAATTGGTGAATGTTGCCATGATCCTTGTCTCCAGTGTATCTTTGGTGTTACAAGGGGTTTTGTTTCTCACTTAACTGTGCTCCTATACATAATAATCAAAGGGGGTTGCAGTCTGGGGAGTTAGGTGGCCAGATGTAAAGGGGTGATGTGGTCACAGAAATTGTCTGACAGCCATGAATGCATTCTCCTGCATGTGTGGCATGGTGCAGAGTTCTGTTGTTAGATACAGGATCTTCCAGCAGTCACCCTCTTGACTCAGGGTAGCATTACCTCCTCAAGACACTTGATGTAGGCCTTCGTGTTGAGTCTGAGGCCTTGTGGAAAGATGAATAGAGGCATAATGTTGCTATCACTAGTGACCACTCCAAACATCTTTGTAATCACTTGTCACTCTTTAAACTCTTTTCAAATCCTCTGCAATGTCCTCATATAGACACCCAAACGCTCTGAAATGTTTGTATTAGAGCTTCTGATGTGAATGCCAAGTAGTACAGCATGCTGTTTACAAATTTCTGGCAGAGTGAATTGTGCCATGGTACCTTTTTTATCGCAGATGATGCCCAACTGACACTACTATAACTGTGCAGTTGACAAAATCAAAAACAAACAAGACACATGCATGAAATTAAAAATATAAAATAGCGACAGTTTATCCATCGCACTCTCTCTCTCTCTCTCTCTCTCTCTCTATATATATATATATATATATATATATATATATATATATATAGATAGATAGATAGATAGATAGATAGATAGATATGTGTGTACTTAAACAAGACTGACAAGTTTTTATTATGTTTTTCTAGTATATGTATAAGTGTCTTCTTTTCTGGACTTAATGTGGAAACTGCTCCAATAGTTTGTTGCTTTCAAGCACTTTTGGCTAAAGTTTTAGTCATGTTCAAGGATTCTTTTTCATTATATTAAAGGGTGTGTAAGTGCTGTTGTAAATGGTATAAAAGTTGCTGAAAGTAGATCTATTGTTAATTTGTATTTGGAAATTAACAATATATCTAACACTAAAAGTAGATACATTCTTAATTTTCAAACATGAATCAAGCATATATCTACTTTTGCTGTTCTAATACACTTTGGATTTCTGCATTCCATTTTTCCTGATCTGTTATAATACTTTCCTGATAGTTAAATTTTTGTACTTGCTTGATTCTCCAAGTCATAGCTTGCATCCTGAAATGTTCTTTTGGCTAAGAACCATGCTTTCTGTGTTCTCACAATGGAAGGTTAGTCTTTTTATCTCTCTTACCTTTATAACCTTTTCTAGTTATAGAATAAGCTGAAAATGGTAACGGGAATATTGCATGTTTCCTAATAAGGAAACATTTAGCATTCATTGACTGAGCAACCAGGGTTACTTTTAAGTTAAATTTTAAAAAATCTTTCTATTAAAACAATTTTTCAGGAAAATAGGTTTCTCAGGTTCATTCTTTCTAGAACTAATGAAGAATTCCTCCCTAACCTTTTGTCTGAATCAGTGTAGAATGCCAGCATCATGATTATGTCATTATATTCATTTCAAGTTACATGTGCCATCCATTTTACTTGTTGATGCTGTTGAAAGTCCCCAAGTGATGAAATTTCTGTTATCTCTATCTATAAAAGGCAGGATGTGTGTGAGTGTGTAACGAATGCACGGCTGCAATTTTCGATGGATTTGCACCATAATTTACATGCACATGCTCCAAGTTAGTAGGAAGGCCAAGACCAACTTTGCATTTCCCAACTCCCATCAATAGTGGAAATAATCAACTTTTCATGCTTCTATGGCGGTTTTCATGTAGTTTGCAGCCATTTTGTACTAGCCAGAGTGAGAGTCAATAGCTGGCTGCCATGAATAGGCAGGAAGATTCTATTGGCCAGCATGAGAGCCAACAGCTGACTGACACAAATTTTAACTAGCATGCTAGAATGCAAAAAAAATCGATAGCTGCATTCGTCACGAGTGGGAAAAATTTAAATCTGCATGGCACTTTACTCCAATTGGCTCATTCGCTTGCTTAAACTCAACGTTGATTCTGATTCCGCAGAACTGGGTT